TTGGAACTTGACTTCAAAAACCTTAGCATTTTTATGGATTACAGTGTTTCTGGTTCTTTTAAATGTTCCACATTTGACATTATTTCATCCCAACTAATTTTCAAAGATTCGACTAAAATTTGGTGATGATACTCTTACAGTGGGGAGCCCAAAGCTATAAAGTAGCCCTCCTCCCAAATATTAAAAAAAACTACAGGTTTCATCATCTTGCAAAATCAAATACTGTGCTTATGCTTTGGGATTCCAAACTACCTTACTACTTTTTGATAACACGTTATATCACTCTTCTATGTTGAAAATGCAGAAGAATAAAATCTATTCTGTTTTTTTTTAATGGTTTATTCTTTAAACATGGATTTTCTTAAGCCAGGTTTTCCCTACCCTTTCTAACATGTTTGAGTTGGGCAATTATTTTTAATAAAGTTAAGCAACCTGGCTTTCATTCTTCCAGTTTGTTAGAATTTTATGTATCATAATTCTGTTCTTTGTTTCTTATTTATCTAACTTTGAGTGATAAATATAATTTGTGAATGTACCTCTGTGTTTTGATACTCAATAACAGCAAACTATAAGGGGTCAGTTACAAGAACTTGAGTCTTATTTCTGGTGACCTATATTCAGGTGATTTCCAATCCAGTTACTGATACTGATAAGAAACCATCTGCACCATCACATTATCCAGCCTGCATATCCTTATTTTTTTCTCCAAGAGCCTCAATTCAGATAATTATACCACCAGGAGTTTTGGGCTATAGCAATATTTATCTCTCAATTCTTATAACCAATTGTAATTCACATAAATACTTTACTTGTAGTTATTTTCATTTGTAATTTATTACATATAATAAAAATATGACTCTGAGGAACTAGTAGTGGCAGATTTATTGGACTTCGCATGATTTCAGACGTTATTCAGGGTAATTCTTAGTAGCTTTAGGACAGGAGTCTGTAAAGGTATTTTAGTGGTTGAGAGGTCTTGGATGTTTTTCTTTCAGTTCTTATACGGTATATTTGTTAGAAACCCATCCTTCAGAGAGATGATGTGTGACAATAAATTATTTTGAATAAATTCAAATTATAATTCCTTTGCTTTTTTAACCAATATGAATAGAGCATTGAATGATAGTATATTTTAGAATGACATTTCGAATAACTTACATATGTATGTTACAATAAATGAATGAATGTATATATATAAAGCTCTCTATAAAGTATAGTGGCTGGCATTTAGAAGGAGCTGAATATGCTTGCAGTTTTTATTAACATTAACATTATCAGATCCCCAAGAAAATCTTGTAGCATACAGAAGGATCAGAGGGCTATAAGTATTGAACATATGTAAAAACTAAGGCCAGAGAAATAAATGACTATATAAATTCCTATATAATTCTGTACAGAAATTGTTCTATAACTAGAGCTAATCTTCTATCTTTCTACCTTTTTTGTTGTATCTCTTTAACTCAACTATACAAGCAATTTTCATGTTAGTCTTACTATAACAACAACAACAACAACATATATATATATGTATATATATATATGATCTCCAATTTTTGAAGTTGCATGGCTAGGGCAATAGCAGTAATGTCCTATCAGAAGGTAAAATGTCCGATCACTAGAAAGGAAATAGAAATAGCAATTAAAAA